GGGACGCAGCCATGGTTGGGACCGCGGGGTCACCTGCCGGGGGATGCCGGTGTCAGGGCAGCATCCTCGGGCGCCGCGGGAAAGGCGCCCCGCTGGGAGGAAGCGCTGAGGTTACCAACCGGCAGCGCCGCAGCCTCGGTGCCTCCTCCCCCTCCCGGTGCCTCTTCCTGCCCCGTCAGGCGAGATTTACCGCCTGAGCAAGAGAAGCGAAATGAAAGCGACGGTGCCCACGGCCCACCGGCCCCGCCGGGAGGAGGGGGCGTCACTACCCAGCGCCCTTCTCCCCCTGCATGGCATCCCCTGGCTGAGCAGGACACCTGGCCAGAGCCTCCCAGCCCGAAGCAGTAGCATCTCTCCCGTAGTTCCAGCTCTACCCTTCACAGCACTGGGTGGTCAGCCCAGCCCCGTCACCTTGCAATGGGAATCTGCAAGGGGGTGTTAATGGAGATGGGTGCCAGTGCCCATGGCTGAAGGCTGAAGGCAGGGCTTTTCCAGAGCAGAAACACCCCAGGCACCCTGCCAAAGTGATTAAATTGCCGTCCCAGAGCAAGGACAAGAAGCAGAAGCCAGGTGATGTCCTTGGAGCAACAGGACTCAGTGCATCACCACACTCTCCCAGGAAGGCTCTGGACCACGCAAAAAGCCAAAAGCATTCCAGGACAGAGCAGAAAGCTGTCCCATGCCCTGTGCAGTGCTGCAGGACTTCCCCAGACTCAGTATTTCCTGCTGTTGGTGCAGCTTGGCCCCACCAGAGACTCAGGACAAGGTTCTGAGGGAACAGGCTGAGCTGCTCTCAGCTGGCAGCCCTGTGACCAGCATCCACAAGGATGGAGGGTGCCAGCTGCCTTCTCGCCCTAAATTGCCCCTTTTGACAAATGTCCAAGCTCCAGGCTGCAATCTGCCAACCAGGGACTCACTGAGTTTTCCCAGGGGTGGAATAACTCAGGAGAAGGTGGTTCCTGGAAGGGCTGGGTGACGTTGCCCTCCTGCCACGTGCACCTGGGGCCACTGCACTTCTGAAACCACCTTCTTCTGTGAGAAGGCAGGAAGTCATCTCCCTGCAGGGACGGTGTCTTCACAGAGCCCAACCACAACACAAGGCAGCTCTTCTCAAGGACGTGGCTGGGGAGAATGTGGCTCAGGGCAAGGACCAACCTCTGCCGAGGCACCTCCTCAAGCCTCCTGAGCTACGTCAGCAGATAGATGAACACCAGGAAGGGCAAAGGGTGTTCACCACCCAGTGGAGACAGAGGCCACCAGGGACGGTCCTGTCTGGTTCCATGTTTTTTCCAGGATGGGAGGAGGCCAAGTTACTGGTATCTGAACTTCTCAGAAAGGGCACCACATCCCAGTTTTGTCGTGCAAGGATATTAAGGACACCGAGAGAAGAGCTGTCCCATTGCACCCGTCAGAATGGCCCCTATCGAAGCTTAGAAGCACAAAGGAGCTCCTGGCAAGCTGCATTCCAAGCTAATTCCCCAAAATACTGGGTCCCACATGCTGGGACATTCTGAGCATCAGAATATCTGCCTCAGGAGTGGAGCAGAGGAAGACATCCATGTGCACAAGTGTTCCCTGCCTCTGTGAAAGCCCAGGCACATCAGGATGTCCAGAGCAACCCACAGAGAAACCCATCCCCTGTGTCTGGCTGTGGACTCTGCTTCGTAAGGTAAGAGGATTTAGTCCCTCTAACCTGGCGGAGCTCTCAACCTCTGGAAGCCAACCAAGCCTTTGGCAGGCTGCAGCAGTCACACAGAGCTGGTCTCAGCCCTCTCCATCCTGACGCCGTTCTCCAGTGTGCTCCCAGGACAGCAGCCCAGGCGCCAGGAATGGCAGCCAGGCCAAGCAACTGGCAGAGGCAGTGATGTTCCTTGGATCTGTACCAGCCCTGGCTTTTCACTCCCAGCCCAGGACACAGCTTTTCCAGCACTGATTAGAGCTCTGGGGTTGAGCCAGAAGTGTTCTGTCCACATTCGGGTTTTGGGTGCTGCCCTGGATGTGTGTCCTCAGGAGCAGGCTGGGATGCTGCTCTACATCTCTCCAGAAGAGCTCCAGAAGCCTTGCAAGAGGCACACAAGCAGAGATCCCTGCCCAAGGCAGGAGCCACAGCTCAAATCAAATAAAACCCAGTCTGTGTAACAGGCCTATTGACTGAGCAAGCACAGAGAAACCAGGTCAACTGAGCAGATCACAAGGTAACACGCCAGGCTGGGGAAGAAAGGAGGATGACCACAGGGTGACAGCTCCCATCCTCAATAAACCCTCGCTGAGGTCTCTTAGGAAAGTTCAAAAAGCAGTCCACAATCAAAAAGTTACTTAGGAATCGTTCCTCAGATGGTATTTCCTCAGATAAGCACAGGAGAAGCTGCTGGTCTCACCTCCCCAGGCCTGCTGCGGCCATGGGCTGTGCCAGGGAATTGAACACACCACCAGCAGATCAAAGACTACTTGGGAGCAACCACCTGTAGTCTTTGGACAAATACACCTCTTGGCTCTCTTCCTCTCAACCCACCACACACAGCCATCTCCTCTCAACTCCAGGAGAGCTGCAGCCCCTGCCTTGGGGCCACCCAGACCTGGGTATGACAGCACGACCGACCTGCTGCACATGGAACACTCACACAGACCGAGGGAGGTCTCTGTTAGAGCACAAGAAGCCTCCAACCTGCCCAGAACTCCAGAGTTCCACCTCCAAGCAGCTTTTCCCAGCAAACTGAAGGACTACCTATCAGGACCAGAGATAACTGGTCACCAAGCAGCTCGTGAAAACTAATCTAGCAACTCTTGTGCTGGTTAGAATTTTCTAAGTAATGTCATTTGCAGCGACTCCTGTACCAACAGTACCAGGTATTATCCTAAACCTGCAGCGTGCAGCTTCCTGACTGCCTACAGCTGGCTCCATAAGCTGCTGTCACAGACAACTAAAAAAATACACCACAGACACTCCACCCAAGTGCCAGTCCAGTTTTCCAGAATGAAATGGAAATGACATTCCTCTTAACTAAACCATCAGCATTTAAACTCACAGCCAAAACAAACAGAAGCAACATCAACTCCCGAGTTACTCCGAGCTCAGGTGTAAACACCGATGTTCACACTTCACATCCTCTCTCCACTACACACAGGGAATCACCCCCCGATTTAAGGGCATGGACAGGTACCTTGTGTTCAGCACGGAGCAGAGGGAACACCTGCAGCCAGAGAGGAGCCAGTCCCTGCAGCATCCTTCTGGGAAGAGCGGCTTTTCCATCTGGAGCTGGCTGCCAGGTCACACCGTTGATGCACACAAAGAAAGCAGCCAGGGAGCACACGTGTTAATCCATTATTATTTATTAGCTGTACAGCAGTATATTCTCCTTCCCAGCTTTCAAACCCCATTACATATTTTATAACAGTATTTTTTTTTTCCCCATGTTGGCTTCCTAAAATAATGAAAAATATCACACAGTACAGCTAAGTACAAAAATGCATCAACCTAGAGTCTGATAGCTAAACTGATAGCTCTCTTAAAAGCGATACATAGAAGAAAAATTTGTTTGAAATCAGCAAGACTGAGGCTCTATAAAAAGCTTACATATTTTAACATGTGACATTTTCATATACAGGCATCATTTGTATTTCACATTATTCCTCTTTTTGTCTTTATCAGAGATTCAAAAATTGTAGAATTACTGACCTATTAATAAAATTTCCTGGCCCAGGTTTTGAGGGCTGCAGTGACCCACTTATAAATCACCACTTCTGTCTTAACATAGGATTCATAAACACAAAATACAACTACAAGATAGAGCAAAGAAAATGTAGTCGTGAAATTATAACTCAAAAAGAAAGTTAATTATAAATGTTTCAAATTGGTTGGATGGTCACATCCAGAGGGCAGTGGTCAACGGCTCAGAGTCCTGATGGACATCAGTGACAAGTGGTGTCCCTCAGGGGTCCATACTGGGACCAGTGTTATTTAGTATCTCCATTAATTACACAGATGAAGGGATCGAGTGCACCCTCAGCAAGTCTGCAGGTGACACTGAGTGGTGCTGTTGACTCTCCTGAAGGATGGGACGCCATCCAGAGGGACCTGGACAAGCCTGAGAAGTGGGCACACGGGAATCTCATGAGGCTTAACAAGACCAAGTGCCAGGTGCTGCATCTGGGTCAGGTCAACCCCCCGTATCAATGCAGGCTGGGGGGTGACAGATCGAGAGCAGCCCTGCTGGGAAGGACCTGGGGGTGCTGCTGGGTGAGAGGCTGGACACAGCCCAGCCACGTGCACTCACAGCCCAAAAAGCCAACCGTGTCCTGGGCTGGACCAAAGGCAGTGTGGGCAGCAGGGAAAGGGAGGGGATTCTGCCCCTCTGCTCTGCTGAGACCCCACCTGCAGCGCTGTGTGCAGCTCTGGGACCCCAGCACAGGAGGGACATGGACCTGTTGGAGCGAGTCCAGGGGAGGCCACAAACATGATTAGAGGGCTGGAGCACCTTTCCTATGAGGGAAGGCTGAGGGAGTTGGGGTTCTTCAGCCTGGAGAAGGGAAGGCTCTGGGCTGACCTAATTTGTGGCCTTCCAGAACCTGCAGGGAGCCCACAAGAGAGCATGGGTGACAGGACAAGGGGCAATGGTTTCAAACTGCCAGAGGGAAGGGTTAGACTTGATATTAGAAAAAAATTCCTCCCTGTGAGGGCGGTGAGGCACTGCCACAGGCTGCCCAGGGAAGCTGTGGATGCCCCATCCCTGGAAGCACTCAAGGCCAGGTTGGACAGGGCTTAGAGGAACCTGGGATAGTGGAAGGTGTCCCTGCCCAGGGCATGCGGGTTAGAACTAGATGGACTTTAACATCCCTTCCAACCCAAGCCAGTCTATGATTCTAGGAAATACCAGGGTTTTGTGCTTCAAAACCAGATTTCATGTGTGGGTCTCTCTTGTTCTGCAAGCAATAATCTGGATACATCTCTTCTCTACGTTATCAACAGTTTTTCCAACATTTACACTCTATCAATTCTCTTGTTGCTTAGTTTGAAAGGAATTAAAATAGTGGGGTTTCTTTAAACTGCATTTTCGCATACCTCTTAATTAATGGAAAAAGATTAAAATGTAAAAAAAAAAAAAAAAAAAAAAGTTATTTACAAGCTTGACCATTACAGAAATGCTTTGCAGAAAGCAAAGCATATTAAGGACAGAAACCAGTTGGAGCATGCCAAAACTACCGTGTGCAGCTGACTTGGAGAATCAGAGCTAGTCAGTGGGAAAAAGCAAAAAAAAAACAACCAAAAAAAACAACCAAAAAACATTTCAAAAGTCTAGAACCCTCCCAAGTCTGCATTTACAGTTAAAAACACTACTGAGAGAAGAGGCTCAAGGACTCTGGGAACTGGAAGGGCAAGTCCGGAGTGGTTTTCCACATACTTTAGTCAAGGCTTCCGCTTTATGTATATTAAAACTTGGTGCATGTAAACACGGCCCTTGGACCAGCTTTACAATGCAAGTTCAGAGCAAAACTAAAATCAAGCATCTCACAGGAAACCCTCAAGGACTCCAAAATATTTCCTAATGTTCCATGATCCTGTAATGCTAACATAAAACAGCAAGTTCTAGTTAAATCACATTCTAACATAGTTTTTTTTTTTTTTTCCCAGTATGTTTGGTAAAATGGTCTAAAATGATGCATTTCCCAAAGCCAAGAAAAAAGATAAAAGGAAAAATAGATTTGAGCCGCTTAAACACAGCCCAGGCCAGTTCAGTCAGCCAGCGTGGTCTTCCTCCATCACCGGTCCATCATGCTGAGAATCATCTCAGGGGTGAGGTCTCCATTGGGAGCTTCCACTACAGGAGGCTGAGCTTCCTCCTCTTCCTCTGCTGTTTCTGCATCAGGTTCTTTCTTCACTTCAACTATAATATTTTCAATTTCACCAGTGTGCTGGTCTTCAACCTGAATGATTGCTGCAGCTATAAGGGCAGAAAAGGAGAGGGGGTAAACCAGATTATTTTACTAGTTCCAGAGCTGGCCTCAAACAGGTTTTTGGTAGACTTAGTCACTTCCATGGAAAGGGAACACATGCTCCCACATTAGTGGGGAGTAATTCAACCCACCTCACTCACCCAAGCATCAAGCATCTATTTCCCTGCCCCTGTATGAAGATGTGCTCCCAGTACCACAGTTCCAGTGTGCATTTTGATATTAAGACATTATTAAAACAATGGATTTTGCAGAGTAATCAACAAAAACCCCTCCGTATCAACATATGGGCCTAAGGCAAATCTTTCAATTCTAGTGATACTAGTGACAAATTCAGCATGAAATACTTCCACAGAATAATTCTAGAAAGGACAACCTCACAGCACTGAGCAGACAGCCAAGGCACTGAGGAAGCCATCACCTCCCTCCTTAAAGGAATAAATTTACCCTTCCTGTTTTGTTCCTTTAATTTATTTACTTTGTCTTTGCACAGTTACGATGTCTGTTATCACAGAGAAAACTCTGTAGAGTTGAAACAACACCTGCACTGGCCCTGTGCTCAGAACTAAAGGCCTGGAGCAAGTTCAGTTGTGGCAATACCTGCAAAAGCCTACACAGGTAGGAACACCAAAGTGACTGTATGACAGCTGCTTAACCAGGAACTGTACATCAGCAGAGACACCATAACTGGTTCCAAAGGCAGTGAACAGTTTGTAAGTCTATGAAATGAAATAATACTGAAGAAAAAATGATGTCCTTTCTTTTTGGCATGGTCTGAAGTGGTCATGTTCCCTCATAACCGGGAAACACTTGCAACAAATTTCACGGTTTTTGGCAATACAGAGACAAGTACAGTTATCAACTTCTTAAATGAGTTCAACTGAAGGGATTAGATCTCCTACAAGAACAGCCAAATCCACAGGAAAAGGTGCTCAAGCCAGCAGTGTAAGGTAGGCTGCAATTAGTGACTTACGCTGGGATTGTTTTGGTTGGGTGGCAGCTTTGCCTGGTGGTCTTCCTCTTCGTTTCTTACTGGGAGGTGGTGCAGGAGCCTCTTGCTCAACTTCTGGTTCAGCCTCAATTTCTACTGCGGTCTCCTCCTCATCTTCATTATCATCCAAATCTGGTTCAGCATTTTCCTCTGTAAGAAATGATCTCAGGTAAGTCTTCAGTTTAAACAAGAATGAAACACATCCATCTACAGCAAAGCACCATCAAATCCTCATCCAAAAGGAGACAAGTCTGATGAGAAAGAAGGGAAACAAGGCCTTTGTTGAGAGGTTGGTGGTACAGACTGTTAACCTGTTACCCCCACCTCAGAGGGAACAAGCTGTCCTTCAGAAAGCAAAAGGAAACATAATTATGTTAGATTATGTGATAAAAGCTGCTCTGCACATCCACAAAGGAGCTCAGAGAGACAACAGTAGGAGGGGAACCAAATACACTGCTGGGCTACTCCCAGGCCCATCAGAGGAGCCACCAGTCCCTCCAAGTCCCACCTGCACCACCCACAGGGGCACAGGGCTGCAAAACGGAAGGTGGGAACCCAAATCCATGACTTCTGAGGAACAAACATTTTGTCCAGGCCACTGCCAAGATAGCCACCAGCCTCCGTGTCCAGGTGTGAAATCCACCCCGATGAGTCCCTACCAGGAGAGAGGACCATGAGTTTTTCCTTCACAAACAGCATATCTCCACCAGCATCTCCCTTGGATGCTGCCAGCCTTCCCCCACAGAAGTTGCCAAGCTAATCAGTGGTGCAGTTGTCTGGACATATCACAAGCAGGATCAAGTACCATTTCACAGCACTGTGCCACAGAACCACCCAGTTTCTTTCAGAATTCTTAAAAAATTACCAGTTTGCCACACAGGTAGGATAGGAATGGCACAGGTGACACAAGGGGTGTCAAACTGCTTTTTAAACCACACTGCCCTGGAGCAGGCCTGGGACAGCAGGATCTATATCATCCCTCACAGGCAGTATATCCCCCTGTACTTGGCCACGTACTATCATTTTTTGTTTGCCAACCAGACAAGACTCTTTCAAGTGCCAGAACAAACCTGCAGAACTGGCAAACCAACAGCTAACACATGCAGTGAATCATAGGCCTGGAATTCTCAGAAGACACTGAGCTGTTCTTACCACTATCAGAGGAATCTTCTTTCTTAGACCGCATCTTTCTCTTTCGGCCACGTTTGCCCTTCTTTGTCTCTCCTCCATTCTCTCCTTCCCCACCATCTAGGCCAGAGCAGTTATCAGCATGTCTGGCCATTGTGTTCTACTCAGTGGAAGATTAAAAACACAACAAAAATTAAAACACACATAGAATTCAAGATCAGACGTTCTGGGTCTGTATTTTCAAACACATTTCTGTTAACTTACATCTTTTTTTTTTCTTAAGAAAGATTGTTTAGGGGAAATGGGTACATTAACTTCATTAATAAAGTTGCATTTCCACACTGTTCATGATGTCACTGTTAATGTGTTGGTATTAATCCTGAATTACATCAGGTCTCTCCCTCTCTTTTCCTCTCAGAGAGAAGGGCTCTATTTAAAAGACCAGGATTGCACCTTGTACCTCACCCAGCCTTTCTGCTGGGTAAACATCCCCCTCCCCTTGGCTAAAAACCTCATTCCAGCCCAACATCCCCCCAGTTCAAAGCAGTGCAACTCCCTTACCCTGCGAGTGAACGTTTTGCCGCACTTGGAACAGACAAAGGCAGCAGGGACAAAGGTGGGATCGTGGTATCGTTTGAAGTGCATGTCGAGGAGCTGCTTCTGGCGGAAGGTTTTGTCACAATGGCTACAGGCATAAGGCTTTTCTCCAGTGTGGGTCCGTTTGTGCATGACCATGTGTCGCTCCTGGCCCCGACAGGCAAGACAGGGAAAAATAACTTGAGAACTCAGGCAAATGGAATCAGAAGAGCGAATTTTCAGCTACGAGGAAGCCAAAACTTTACGCTTAATATCAAGAAAAGGATGATTCCGCAGGGACGTGACAACATCTGGACTGATGGCATATTCAGTCCTAGCTACTTCCATCCTATATGGACTCTTATCCCTTGGTCAACAGGTACATCAAGGTTGTGAAATAGGTGGTTCTCTACAGGGCAGCATCACACCAAGAAAAGGCCACTTGTACTTTCCTTCACACCCTTCAAAGACTTAAGACAACTAACTTGATCTTGACAGCTGGTCAAAAACCTAACAGCTAAGATTTCTACCTCATATTTTCAGCTCCTGTCCTAAGTGGCTCACGGGGGGGTGCCAGCCCTGCCAGCTCACCTGTCTGCACGCATAATCACACTGGTCACACTTGAAGCGCTTCTCGTTCTTGTGGGACTTCTGGTGCTGGATGAGGGCATACCGCTCGTGGAACACGGCGTCGCAGTAGCGGCACTTCTTGCCCTGCTCGATGTAGGAATGCTGCTTCCGCAAGTGGACACCTAGGAGCGAAAAAGATCATAGAATCATAGAATAGATTGGGTTGGAAAAGACCTCCAAGATCATCAAGTCCAACCCCTGATCCAACTCCAATTACTATATCATGGCACTAAGGGCCACGTCCAATCTCTTTTTAAAAACCTCCAGGGATGGTGAATCCACCACCTCTCTGGGTAGGCCGTTCCAATGCCTGATAACCCTCTCTGTAAAGAATTTCTTCCTAACATCTAACCTAACCCTCCCCTGGCAGAGCTTGAGCCCATGTCCCCTTGTCCTATTGTTGGTTGCCTGGGAGAAGAGACCAACCCTCACCTGGCTATAAGCTCCCTTCAGGTAGTTGAAGAGAGTGATGAGGTCGCCTCTAAGCCTTCTCTTCTCCAGACTAAACAACCACAGCTCCCTCAGCCTCTCTTTATAGGACCTGTGCTCAAGTCCCTTCACCAGCCTCGTTGCTCTTCTCTGAAGAGCAACGGATCGGAGAGGCTTTCACCACCACGGCTCTCCCCAAGCAGGAAAAGCCAAGCCTAACAGCCCTTTGGAGATCTTCGCTCCTGAGCTCAGTCAAAAAAAAAAAAAAAAAAAAATAAAAAAAAAAAAAAAAAAAAAATCAGTGAAATGGTTAATTTAGGATTCAACTGAAAACCTAAAAGACCCGTAGTTAAACCAACTAGAACAATTTCTAGACAGAAATAGCTTGCAGAAAAACCCCACTGAGTTTTTCCACAGGACTCCAGATTTGGTTATTAGTTGCAATCTGTGGCGATTCAGGACAGTCACATTTGATAACACAAGATTGGCAAACTGAAGTGCCTTGTGGACTGTTATGTTTAAGACTAACCCAAATTGCCTGGATAGAGACAGAAGCCAGGTAATTCACTAGGGGAAAACAGGATTTTCTACAGGATTAGAAGTCAGTGTGACGGAGCTAGAAGGCAACAGGAATACCAGCAGATAATCCTGACAGAGGTTTTAGTCACTTCTTTAAAATCCTCCAACTAAGAGCATACCACAGCTGCACGAGGTAGCTTAGGGTAGATTAAAGCATTATTAGAAGAAAAATTCTTCATAGCTAACATCAGTTTTCCTCTCTTGTAAATCTGCTTGTTTGCTCCTGACATCATCTGACTGCCATCCTCTCAAACTGCTTCTCACTGTAGCACTTTATACTTGTCTTCACTGGAAGGGAGCCTGCCTTCCCATTACTTGGGTGATAATTCTGTTTATAGACAGAAAGTTCTGCCAAATCATGGCTCTTTCCTTTTCCTCAGCTGCTCTGGGCACGATATTGTTTGTCACCTTCTTCTAGAACATAAGAGCTTGCCTGCTGGAATCACACTGGGTACTGCTCACTAGATCCAGACTGTCCTACTGCAAAGACTCAGAGCTTTTGTGAGCACACACTCCCCCCCCTACCCTGTCTGTGGCACACAGCTCCACAACCCAGAAAATTAAAACATTTGGTCTAATTCAAACCTTTTAACTTGATGATAATATCTCTGCATGACACTTAATGTACAGGAGGTCAAGCCAAGTGATCTTCTGGCTTTTCAGACCCCAGTCCTTATGCTGTTGGAATCTCAGTCCAAGTTCAATAAATGCCTTGCATCTATGAGCCTGAAAACAGTATTGTATGCTCGGGGAAAAAAATTACTTCTTCAAATAATGGGAAGAAACTGAAAACTGTTCTAATTTGCAGCAGCTATGATAAGTTAAAAGTGTGCATTACCAGCCCCACATGTGAAGCTGTGCTTCATGTTGTGCAGTCACCAGATGCACTGGGTTAAGAGCACTCTAATGCTGGGTAGAGTTTTGTACCACCTTCAGCAAACAGCCACATTTGGGGGATACGTACCCAAGTCACTCTTTCTCGCTATGACAGTATCACAGTGAGGACAGTGGAATTTGGCCACATTCTCCGTGTGCTTCTGCAAAATGTGCATCTTCATGGTACCGCTCTGAGTGAAGCGAGCGTGGCAGATGTAACATTCATATGGCTTCTCTCCTTCAGGAGCAAGAGGGGAAAAAATAGCACAAGTACTTTTGTTAAAAAGAAATCTTACCAAGAAGCCCCAAATGACCTCCCAGAAACTTGCACCAGGCATCTAGATAACAGTAACTCTACAAAGAGCTCAATTTCTCTTTCTCTACGAGTTTTAGCTCCAATAAGCATCTTTCTACAAGGAAACTCGAGGTCAATCTTTCAGCAAGTTACATTAGTCTTACTCTGAGAAATTCAGGCAAGACCTACACACAGGCTGCCATAAGACAGCAAGTGGGATCAGACTTTTTTGGAGTGGGGGTTCTGAATGTTCACGTATATATAAAAGAGCATTTTCCCCTCGCTTTAGTTTTAGCAGTATGATTAATTTGGCACTGCTGTAACATTCTGTGGTAAAATCAATTCCATTTCTATTGAAGAAAAAATTTAGCATCTGTATGAACTAACATGCACGAGAAGCTTTTAAAATTACACTAAAGCATAAAACTGTAAATGGCTCTAATCTTTAACTGGAAGTGGAACACTGAAAACAGAAGAAGTTTCTTCTGTTCATACTACAAGTGCCTGTATTTTATCACCTCACAGTCGAACTGGAAATCAGAATCCTCCAAACTCATTTCTCAGTGCAGTAATTCTATTAGGTTATGAATTTACTAGTGCTTATCAATCACGGTGCATTCTCTTCAGCTAGAGACTTCATAAAGGTTTAAGACAAAACTACAAAACCCTATTTCTTTTGCTGTTTAAGTGTCAGCACACATTGCACACAGCCTCAGCACTCTGACACTAAGGAAACCTGGCATCAGTACCGGAGTGGGTCCTCATGTGCCTCTTCAGTTTGTAGGTGTCCCTGCTGGCATAGCTGCACAAGCTGCACTGGAACGGGCGCTCTCCAGTGTGAGAACGAATGTGGCGTTTCAATTTGCTAACCTGCAAGTCAAGAGCAAGACTGAAAGTCAGCACAGATGAGCAGCTCAGACTGCCAAAGGTACAAGGGATCAGTGAAGAGTTTAAGGTCGTCTATTTTTATTTTGTTACAAATCCAAACAAGCATGTTTCAATGCCATTCTCACACTGTGCACAGCCACTAACTCCTGTTCACTTCACCTCCCAACCTCACTCCCAGCCTTGCCTGATGCTTGTTCCCACACTCACTGCAGCCTGATTTAGACTCCTGTGCTCAACTTACTGTTATCAACCATCTCAGCAGCTGAAGACACCCTAAAATTTCAAAGTATCCTGGAGATCCTCTCCTGCTTTTACTGAGAAGGTACAAACCCAGCTCAAAGGTCAGCAAGAACACCAATGGTACTGCATGTTCTACTCCAGCCTGACCACGCTGCTTAATCACCAACCTTTGCCTACAAAAAGCAGCATGACCTCATGTAAGGACCAACTTGGTTGTTCTTTCCTAATTCATACTAGGAAAACCCCTGCAACACAATTTATTCAGCACTCAAACCCACAGGGTCTGGAATTGCAGCACTGCAGGCACCGTGTGGGCAGAGAAAAAAAAATAAAAATCGAAGCCCCTGCTCAAGCTGTCCCAACTGTAACCTCCTTCCACTGCAGAAATTCCAGCTGCTCATCATCTAGCTCCAATTTCCTATAACAATACAAAAGCTGTCCTGTAAAACAGGTAATACTGCACAGAAAGGAAGCGTTGAAGGAAGCTTAATGTGCCTGAGCAAATTAGACAATCATTCAATATTAGCAAAGCTGCTCTTCACCAATATTGAGGCAAAGGCTCATTAGTTTTAGCTACAGACACCTTCATGGCATAAACAGATAATCTGCAGAATGCATGTTTCTAAAATGGGAGGGCAACTCTGATCTGAAATGACACCCCACCTCAGGAGGAAACGTCTGTCCCCTTCAATATGGAGCATGCTACAATTCCTGCAATGATATTAAAGGCCAAATAATTTAAGAAACAATGACAACTATTGTCTATAAAGAGGAAACGGGTATCATCTAGGATTTCTGTGCATAAGTGATCTCAAACTGCTTTCTGATTCACTGAGGAAACCCCACCATTTGCTTCCAAGAGCAGCTCTGATTTATAACATCTTTTGCTCAGAGCCTTTTAACCAAATGGTCAAAGAGGAAGGAAATGCCTGAGAACAGAGTTTATAACAGATGGTGAACAATCTTTGAAGTGCACAAGGAAGCACTCAGCACTGTAACAAGTAACTAACATACCTCCACACTGGCATAATCACACATGGAACACTTGAAGGGTTTCTCGTGGGTATGTTTGTAGCGGCGATGCCGAACCAACTCTCCACTGGTCACAAAGGCCATGTCGCAGTCTGGGCACTTGTGAGGGCGAGTACCTAATGGTGTGCAGCAAAACAGGGAGGCAATGACATGCAGATTTAGTGACAAAAGAAAATACGGGATGGTTTTGGTTGGGTTTGTTTTTGTTTTTCAAGTGAATTAGCAACACTGCTTTTCGTGTTCTGAAAGATTAGATTAGAGTAGCAAATAATTTACACAAAAGTCAGAGGGTTTGTGTAAATAACAAATGGATTGAAGATCTCGGAGAACTAACATGCTTTCAGTGAGGAAACAGACTCTTTTTTTTTGTATCACTTGGTTATTTACAAATTTGAAACCACAAAATCAGACATAGTGTAAGTACACAGAGAAAATGAGGGATATGTGGGGGGTTTTTTTGGCAGAAAGGCACAAGCTTAAGTATATTCACAGTTCAATTACCTGTAGTTTCATACCAGAAACTCTGGTAAAGACAAACGTGTTAAAACTTCTAGCTATAAATTTCATTCATCCAGTTTATAATTTATTCCTTGGGGTTAGGTGTTTTTGGTTATTTTTAATTCCCTCATGTTTAACTCCGGCCTCATTTTCATGGTACTTTTCTCCACGCAGCAGAGACAAAACATATCTGAGAACACAAGTACTACTGCTCAAGGCAAAGAGAACATTTCTGTAACTTCAGGTAATTTGAGATCAAGCCCAGGACCAGTTTTATACCTGTGAACAGGACAAGCTCTGCACCTGACCTAGCCAGGCAGAAAACAACTGCATGGTCTCCTCCTTTTTAGCCTGTTCCGTAAGAGGAATTAAAAAAACAGCAGAGACCTATCTTAAACCTATTTGTTCTAACGACAGAGCAGGTCCTACAAAAACAATGTGTGCAAAACCAAGAGTACCTGTGTGAGTGTTGAGGTGGTTCCTCAGCAACGTGACTGTCCGGAAAGCCCTGCCACAGAGATGGCACTTGTGTGGTCTTTCATCGGTGTGGCTTTTCATGTGGCGGTCCAGGTTGGAACGACGGGGACAAGTGTAACTGCACAGTTCACACTGGAATGTCTTCTTTACACCTAGTCAGGAAAGAAACCACCTTTAGCCTTTGACAGCACTGTGGTCTACTGTGTAACATCAGAGACCAGCAGGGGAAATAAAAGATTCTTGGAGGTTTAGCTACTGCAAGGAGCCACCATGCAGCACTAAATCCAACTGCACTGCCTGGGGCTGATTTGGCTTCAATTTTCATTAGTATGCCAGCACTCAATGTTCCTTCTCCACTCTAAAAAGGGTTTCTTAACTTACAGTTTTAACAAAAAAACCCAACCAAACAAAAAAAACCCCAAAAAACAACAACAAAAACATCAAACATGTCTATTACTGTATTTTTGCACCATCTACCTTACCCAGCAATTGGTTAGAAAAAGCCCCACAGAACTAATTATAGCATTGGTTCCTGGTGTAAACCACATGCACACAAACTGTTACATGTGTATTACAGCAAAGAGAACAATCTTTTCAATCATAGTTATATGGGAATATTAATGCCACAGCATTATACTTGAGGAAAATGAGCTCCCACAGCCTAAATGGAAGAGAAGGGAGGTTTGCCCAAGAAACACTGGAGTCGAGCTCTATTATATAAAGAGCAAGAAACACTGGGCATGTCTGCTTTCCTCCCAACTTGCCTCTATTCAGTCATATCACATTGCAAGGTCCCACCATAACAAATGCATTTTCAAAATCCACTTGCAGACGGGGAGCTTACCTTTCTTTTTAATTTTTGTTGGTTTAGGTGGCTTCATATTGCCCACCACCTTTTCTGCATTAACCTCGGACAACAAACCCTCCTGCTGCTCCTCTTCAAAGTCATACACAGACACATCCACATCCTTGCCTTCCTCAGTGTAGCGAAGCTTACTCTTTTTGTTTTTCTTTGTTTTTTTGGCTGGTGGTTGATAGTCTGGATCTTTTTGCCAATTGGGATCTTCCTGTGGCTGAAGATCACCTTGTTCCAGTGTCTCCACCTCACCATTTGCACCCACTTTCACTACTTGGAAGCCTTCTGGTAAAGGGAGGGTGTGACAGATCATGGGCTCCCCCTCTTGCAGGCCTGCTTTGGAAACCTCATTTTCATAAGCTCCCTGCAGTTCTTCCACAGACGTGGTGGCAACAGGTACAGTCACTGGTACAGGTACTTGGACCAGCTGAAGCTCACCAAGGTTTATAGGCTGCTCTTCCATATTAACAACCTGAAGTGTTATGATCTGTGTGTCATCCACTGTAGCCTCAGTTTCTTGAGGCACTGCACCTTCCATTACTTCAGTCTTCATTTGAAGAAGAGTTGGATCCAGCTGATCCATCATCACCATCTGCACCCCACTGCTGACGTCCTGCACTACTTCACCTCCATCTGCTTGGTTTGGCGGTAGATGACAAGCATCATCCTCTTGCCCGCCTTCACGGCGCCTTTGATAGGTTTTCCTCTCTTTTCCCTTAATGAAAGTTTCTGATTCCTCCACAATAGCTTCGACTGCCTCACCTTCCATTTCACCTTCCTGCTGTAAAAACAAGAGGATGAATGCCACACACCATCTGATGTACTCAACAACTGCACAAACCCCACAGAAGAATAAGTCGCCCAACTGGAAACACCCAATTTAACAGCAGCCACGAATCAGAAAACAGGAGCTGAGAGCTGTAGGTCTCCATGAGCCCATCACCACTGCAAACCAAGGCAAATCACAGAATGCTGTCTGCAGGGAGACAACCGTACTAGATTCTTGGAAAGGGAGGAAAGAAAGGAAGAAGGATAAAGCGACACGCACGATCCCATTTCTCAAAGACCACAAATCCCACCAGCAAGATGAACAGCATTATTATTCCTTATTGAGCTTGTTTAATCACTTCACACAGCTCAGCAGGACCAGAGGCAGTCTTTGGCTACAAATTTTAAAGGTACAAAAGTACTATACTGTTCAAAAGCAAAAAGCCAACCTTAAAGAAAGTATTTCCTGCTCCCACCTCTGGCACTGCCAGGCCCTGAGCAGAGCAGAGGACGATGCACTGTGCCCTCCCTCTTCACCTGAATGAGCCACAGCAGGAGACAGGCTCAGGTAAAACCTTATTTCAATGTAAATGATGTGGAGTCAGAACTGGTGGATTCTGATGATGCCTGGGTTAAATCCATCTATACAGTCATAAGCAAACAACAATACTGAAGCTCAGCATTTTGGTGGGCCTTAACTTTAACTCTGAAAATAGCTGCAAACAAGCATAACACTGAGATTTTCTTCCTTCTCAGACCATCCAGTGTTCTTCTCTGCAGTCAGGGAAAAATATGAAATTCCTGTATTTTCATTCTGCAGGAAGGTTCCTTCAAGAGCAGTAAGAGCTAGAAGAAATCATCATTTTGCAGCTGTCTTCTTCCCCAAATGAAAAGAGTAAGATCACAGTAAAGAAGTATTTCAGAAGTCTACCTCTGTTTCAGGTGGTTTGCTTTGTAAAAATGAAAGCAGGTTCCCCAACCATGCCAAACATATTCCCTGCATCAGGACACCGTTTCTTATATCCCCTTCATAAGTGTTAAAAAGGTACCAAGATCAACTGTACTGCTGAAGCAAGTAATAAAAGAGCCAGTTTCCTTACTAAGCCTGTGATTAAGTCCTGATTCCAGTTCCAGATTTGATAAGAGACTTCTGTATTTTCCCATTAAATTGACTGGACCCTCAGACCAGCTAACTGAATTTAATTACCATAAATATTTAATCTCCCTTGTTACCTCAACACTTTAAAAATCATCAAACTATTTTCAAATATCTACATTTAATCTTGGATACTGAATTTTAAAATACAAAGGCTCATAGACATAAACACGAAACACAGCTGTCAGTCTCCATGAGCTTTAAGAATTACAAGACATGTAATTGCTATTATTTTTAGAGAGTTCTTGCTTTTAGTCTGCTGTCTTTCCTAGCATCCTCCACCTCTCCTGTGAGAACAATAAAGCTCATATTGTTCCTCAGCCTGCTCGGACTGGGGACATCTATTAACGTGCTGTCTTGATATTCGTTCTGTCGTGGGCAGCCACAGTCTCCAGAGGGCACCAGATACCCAGGAATACCAACATAGGGCTTCGTGAGCACTCCCTGCAGGGATCCGGCCTCGCCTTTCCTTTACCACCCATCAGCTTCTCAAGTTGGAGCAAATCCATATGGAGAAACAGCTGAAGTACACGAGATGATGTAAGTACTTAACACTAGACAGCAGGCAATCAGAACAGAGCTGGTCTTTGGCCTACAGCAACTGTGAAACTGTTTTACAATTACCTTAAGCATTTGCAGAGAGAGAGAGAGACATAAGAGAAGCCTTTTGAGGTGACTAAAAATCTCTGAAGAAAAGGAAGGACACAGCTAAACAAAATAAATGGTCACAGGGGGTAACAACGAAATATTTAAGATGAAGGGACAAAATGGCAAATGCCCATCTGCAAAGCTAATGCAATTTTGGTGCCTTGCAGAGGAACAGAGGAGAGATCTGCAACCTCGACACAAGCACAGGCAGCTCTGAGTAGAGGTGAGGCTCTCATAAGGACCTTCACATTCACTGCCAATATCAGAGTTGGTAACAAGGCTGCTAAGTCACTCAAAAGCAAGCCAATGGGCCAGAACTGGCCAGTGTCCTCTATGATCCTACAGAAACATGACTTCTGTGGAGTTGTAGGAAGGCATCATTTCAGACTTGCACAGCAGAAAATCCTAAGTCCACCGAGAAACAGGTCACTCACTCACACACCTGAACACTTTGACACATGGCTCATGTTGTCAGGAAAAGCCTGCCAGCCTAGGAATGCAGAGGTACAGGGAGGCCAAGGAAAAGCAGGTAGGCACAACTCGTGTTAAAGATGCTCACAGTGAGGTGTGTACGGGTGTGAAATGAACGGATGGATTCTCACAACCGTCCAGAAAAGAAACTCAGACCCCGCTATTCCTCCCTCTCCCATCTCTCACCCCCGTTCCCTGTCACTCATCGGGGCGGGGGTTACACAGTGGGGCACGGCTGCCCCGCCGTGGTGAGACACGGCACTGCACCGGGACCGGGCCTGCCACCTCCGCGGTCACCTCCCTGTCCCTCGTCACTACATCCTGACCCTGCCACCTCCCTGTCCCTCCGTCACTGCATCCTGACCCTGCCACCTCCCTGCCCTTCACTGCATCCTGCCCCTGCCACCTCCCTCTGCCTGCCCTCCACTGCATCCTGCCCCTGCCATCTCCCTGCCCCTCCCCTCCACTGCATCCTGACCCTGCCACCTCCCTGCCCTCCACTGCATCCTGCCCCTGCCACCTCCCTGCCCCTGCCCTCCACTGCATCCTGCCCCTGCCATCTCCCTGCCCCTGCCCTCTCCCTGCCCCTGCCCTCTCCCTGCCCCTGCCCTCTCCCTGCATCCTGACCCCATCACCTCCACTGTTCCAGTCTATCACTGCATCCTGACCCAGATCCCCTGGACTCCAACACTCAGCACACACACGAGCAGGTTCCTCTCAGTAAAAAGTAAAGGCAGCTGAAAATGCCTAGTTTGAAACCAAACTCTTGCCACAGGGAAAATGTTACTATAACCTTTAGAATATTGTAACAACATAACAACATACAAAAATACACAAATATACAGGAGGAGTCTCATTTGATGTCTTGGTCAGCTCAAAAATCTTGCCACACTGCCAAGATTTCTTCTGAAGAAAGCATGGATTTACAAGTTTCCAGTTTCTCCAACCAGGGGGGACCCAGGATGGACCCTAACTTAAGAATGGAAAATGTACTGACTTTTTCCTATTAAATAAGCTCTCTGGAAAGACTCCATCTCAGCCTTGCACTGCCTGTTCATGTCCCTTCTCAATTACTCTGTCTTGAACTATTTGCTACCTTTTTACTTACCTTTTTTTTTTAAACTTAATTTGCCTTTTTCACAAAGTAAGTTTTACAGGTAAGTTTTATATTTATTGGAGGATGTGTCATTTGCTACAGTTAAGACCATTATAGCAGAACACTAGGAATAAAAACTGCTGAGTTTTGTATACACTTAACCCAACTTTTTATTTCTGGCTGTTGTCACCAGCTCTCTTTCCTACCAGTTACTGCTACCTTACATCAACAGCTCAGTTCCACAATCACTGAATCTAAAAAGGAAAACAAAGCACCAGGTTAACAGGTGATGCAGCAAATCAACATGGAAAAAAAAAGTGAAAAAGAAGAGTTTCCACAATAAGGAGAGCAACCAAAGAACATCTGACATGAACACAATTCCCATGTAACAGCTCAAGCCAGTCTTTACAAACACACTCACTCAGTGGGCTTTACTGAGAGACACCACACACTGAAGAGCTCAGTGCACTGTCACAATCCAATTAACCAGGTAAAAAGCTGTGACGTCCCAACAACAGACCTAAGCTTCTTCAGAGAACCCATGGGCAGCTCATCTGAAACAAGCAGAAAGCACAAGGGTTGTGCATTTGATAAAAACAACACTTCACTGCAATGAAAGGAAATCAAAAGGTTGCTTGAGGTAAAATAATTTAGTGCCAACTGTCCTATAACTGCAGCACAGGAGTCCCAGCCCAGCTACACTCACAGCAAAGAATTTCTTCTTAATATACCATCTAACCCTGCCCTGTGTCAGCATGGAGTCGTTCTCCCTCGTCCTGCCACTCCATACCCTTGTCCAAAGTCCCACTCCAGGTCTCTTGGAGCTCCTTTAGGTACTGGAAGGGAATTGTAGAAGCATTAAAAAAACCTTGCTGTAGGTGTCAATGCAGAGAGTACAAACCCAGAGACAGGGATGGTTAGTGCCACTGCCTGTTTATCTAGCTGTGTTGTTTATAATAAAGCTACTACCAAAGAGGCTCTGCCTCTCACCCAATGTCAGAATTAACAAATCCTGAACTGCATCAAGTTTCATGTACCAAATAACAGAAAAATAAATATTTTTGCCAAACAAGACACAGTGTCAATAAAAACAACAGCAATTGAAAAGAATATTTAGTGCTGTAATATACTCTTCACTTGAGGAGAAAAAAACCCAACAAATGTCAACAGAAACAAGGAAGTCAAATGCTGTCAATTTTTTGGCATTCATAAAACACTGAAAAATATCTTTGCATTATTGTAAACAAAAAACCCTATTACCTTTCGATATATTCAGACCTTGAATTCTAGTCAATCCACATACAGTAGCACTTAAAAACTGACATGGCTCTGACACTTATGGATTAGGCACTTATTACAAATTTTATGGGAGTGGAAATAAAGCTTTAAGTTAAAACATGGGAGATTTATTTTGCTCCTGCATACCCTGTGAACCTTTCAAAGCTGAATAGAGGAATAAGCAAAAACTTCAACTCTGAGTCTGCTGTTGTGCAGCATGTCTGCCATTTAAAGCAAGATTAAAAAAAAAAGTAAAATATATTCAACAGGGTTTACAATGGACATTTTTTTCCTTTTTTTTTTCCTGCTTGCAGGTCACATGTGTCTGTGTAAGTATTTAAGGGCATTAGCAGATGCAGCATAACCACAGGAGTGCTTGGCCATTCTCCTTCCCATCATGAAGCAGCCGTATCTTTGCCCTGAAAAGGCTCCCAGCCAAGCACAGCCAAAGATAAGGCAGTTTAACAAGTAGGCCATTTCCTCCAGCAGAGCTTCCCTGATAACAGATGAACATGGCACAAATGTAACTTATTCTAAAGCAGATATGATATACATAAAACACAAAGCATTAAGTATTGCCTTTCCTAGAGATGCTCTTTCTTACTATTCACCACAACTGCTCCTGATCTCCTCAGCATATCAGTGGTACCCCTAGACAGGCAACAAATCCAGAATACAGAGTAGGTGTATGTGCAACTGCTTCTCACAGCTCCCCTCTGGGTTTAAAAGCACACCAATTCTTGTTCTCCACACAGTGTGGCACTAGAACCAAAAAATCCTGACACAGTTTGGAAAGAGGAAGAAAGATGCTTGAAGAGCTCTGTGCAGGGCCAGGCACCCCAGGCAGAGTTTGGTAGCTTGGTCTCAGCACCCCACAAACAGCTATAAAGCTTTTGAACTCGAGGTGTTTCTAGGAGTAGTTCAGCAGTTCTACACTCAAGACAAGAGGCACAGTTGGATCCAAACAGACCAGCTGTGCCTATCACACACAAAACATCACAGATTTACTACCAACAGGGGAAACTAAAAAGCTGGGATGAGTTTCTTCCACTAAGTAATTTGCTCACACTAAAAACTTAAAGTTTTCATTTGCCTACTGCATTTGATTTCATATCCACTAGTTATGACTGCCACGCCCAGCTCCAGCTGTTTTCTCATTTCCTCCTTGCCACTTACAACACTGGCACTGAAAACAAACAAAAAAAGTCAAATGTACCACTTCAAACATTTATTACAGTTTTAAATTAAAAAGGGCAGTCTCATTAGTCTATGATTAAGCAATTACTCTGAAAAATATTTCAGCATCTGGGAGGGAGTAAGGAAAAGGACAAGCAAGAAACCCAGGAGAAGAGTGAACTTCATCAGCAGTTAATAAATGCTTGTGCTTTTTCTGTGTATGAAAAGGGGCCTGTCAAGGGAAAGAGGTCCCAAGAAACACATAAACCAGCTACACAAATGACAGCTGCAATTGCAAACACAGAGTTGCAGAAGGAAGGTTTCCTTAAGTACTGACCCTGCAAAGGGAGAAGACAGCCAGCTTTGGTAGTGCAGGTGGAGATTACCTAAGCAAAGTGTCTGCGCTGGCAGGTTGGTCTCTCTAAATAGGGCAATGAGAAGAGCACATTCTTCCAGGGAGAGATTCAAAGCTTTTAAGTGGATCCCTACAAAAACCAGTAAATAGTCTTGTTCTTAGGCCTTGTTCATTCTTCCTTAATTTCTCCTTCCATTCCTATCTAATATTCTTTTAAATTTTAGCTTTCATTTTTCACTCTTTCTTGCAATAACTGCTAGTGCAATCTCACTAGATGAGTCTAGGTCTTCAGTCATTCTGAGAATCCTTTACCGAAAGCTGGGAAATGTGAATATTTTTATATCAATCTTTAAAAAAAAAAAAGTTTCCCTTTTCAATATATTAAGGAAGGTATCACGTTTTGCTAACACCGTGACAGCTCTTTTCAGAAGGACAAACATGCAATTTAATCAGGTGTAAAATACAGAAAGATTTACACTTTAAAAGTAGCAGTCACAGAGGAATTCCCTTTTAGCTGATGTTAGATCATAAAAGTAATCACTCCTTCCGTTCCACAGTTCTTCATAACATAAAAGTGATGAAGGAGTTCATGAAAGACCACCAGAATACTTGAAGGTATTAAACTGAGAACAGAAAATTATTTCAGGTTAGAAGAGCCTGTAAAATCCCTTGCCACAAAAAGTCTAATACTGTAGGTAGGTGCTGGAAAATATTACTAGTTTTGTCAACAAGTATTTGTGGCCACTTCTGCCATCACACACTAAGTTAGGCTTTCATTTAGGCCATTAGCAAACTGCTCACAGCAAAACAGTTGCTTCTTCAAAATCACTGTGAGCAGAGCAGGATTCTTTGGCCATCTGATACAGCCTTGCATGATACCAAAGTGGCAACACCAGCCACTCCCACACCTGAAAAAAAGACCAGTGCAACAAGTTTCATGGCATTCTGGAGACTTCATAATAAGTATTTGGATTTTGTTTTCCTCTAAGGTTTCGTCTAGATTAACAAGTATCCAAGACTAAACTTTTGGGGGACAGCTATTTCTTTTATCTTTGCACAAGTACCCATTAAGTAGTGATACTCTGCCTGGACAAGTGGATTCAAGGCTTCAAATTGGAGGAGCAGGAAGTGCTTATCCCTGGAATGGTAACATGGGTCCTGTGCTATGAACAACAGCTGCCCATGCAGTGACTATTAGTCACCTCACAAATCACACCCTGATGCACACAAGGAAACCTGAAGTCAGTGCTAGTTAATTTAATGTCAGGCTGTCAAACACAGAGGTGCAGTTTACTGCTGTTGCAGCAGGGACAGGAAATTCCAGCAGAGTTTCGAAAGCACCTGTGGCAGAAGAGTGGTGGACAAGACAAACTCCCAGAGACTAAATTAAAACATCCTTGCTTTTGAGTCACAGACCACAGAAGAGTTAATCTGAACTCATAAGAGCTGGATGAGACAAAGAGAATCAAACCCAGGTGAACCCTTTAAAGTGACCCTCATGCTGAAATTCTAAGTAGTTTCATTTATCTTATACACACAGGTATATTCACATATACTCATATTCCAAATATTCTCATACACTCAGCCCTAAAAGTGCAATTACAATCAACTTTCAAAGCAGATGAAGAAAAAAAAAACCACAACAATACCCCACAAAGGCACTCGACCTTGGAGGAATAAAACCTTTGTACCAGGAAGGAGCAAGGCCTCATTTTCAGACACACTGTCAGAGAAGCCATCCCTGCCTTTAAACTGCCCATTCATTCCCTCCCATCACCCAACTATTCCTCATGTCAGCACAAGCACTTTTAAGACTGCAGCCACTGGTCAGGAAACTAATCCAGGCCAGAACTCACCCAGCCAAAAAGATACTTATTTCCATCCAGACCAGGTCTCTGCTGTGCCCAAGCACTCAGGCCAGCCAAAAGAGAAGCATGACAAGAGGGTTTCTTCCAGCACACTGTTAAGCTTTACGTTCAGGAAACTACTGCCTCAGCATGGAACACATACCACACTTTAAAACCCCTTAATTTACATTTATGTTCTTGTTGCTTCTGCACTTCTGCCTGGACTGATTTGTTCTCTTCATGCTGGCTATTCTTCATGCAGCTCTTGAGGTCAGAACACCCTCTGGAACAGAACAGATGAGTCGTACCAGTGAAACTACATAAAAGAGAAAGGGAAGAAGGGAAGGGGGGGTAGTAAAAGGACTGTTTGAATGTTTAATGCTTGTTTAACAGCAAATGTGTAGCCCCACACCTCTAATAGCAGCAACATTGATAACTGCTTCAGGACCCCTTCACTTACCAAAAAAAAAAAAAAAAAAAAAGCCATAAATAAAACCAAAAGAGCATCTTAGTCAGTTTTATTACTTTTCACCAGCATGATTGAACTCATTTTGCAAGCTCCTCTCTATACCTGTCCTCAAACTCTGAATTCAGCATTTATAGTTCTTACAACCTAAAGCTCTGGATGCCTCACATCAGATTAAGAGTGTAATATGACACTTTAGAGCTGACTGTGCCTACTTCAGATGGCCTTTTTCTCCTGTGCTGTGGAATAGCAAATCACACACCAAAGGAGCTTTTATTGTTAAAGAGGTGTAAATTAGAGCAAATATAACTCCTTACATACTGTCAATGCAGCAAGAAACCCTATCAACAGACAAAATCAGCTTTAACAATCCTAACCTTGCTACCCTGAGGAAAAGCAGCCTCTGCTCACTGAAGCGAACTTTGTTACCAATTAAGAGCTTCAAATATTCACATTCACAGAACTACAATATTTATAAGACAGCACATTATTTCTCATCCTGTAATCCTCAGTATGCACACATGCTAAAAACCCTGGGAATGATAAGGGAGTCCACAAGAGTAATTGTTAAGTGGGGCATATCTTCTTGTTGCACTCAGTGATGTGAGTGAAGCAGTGCTGGATTTCATACCAGTCCTACACCTTTTGAATTTAAGTACTTCCCTCCCCAGGTTCTTCTGTCATTTATTTAGTACAAGGCACTCAAGTCTGGGTCCTGGCTGAATTTTTTACTTGGCAAGTCTATTTTTAATTGTTTATCAGCTTCAAGGAGCACGACTGATAAGAGGTTTGTTGGACCTGTGGGTGCTCAGCGACAGTGAGCTTTTAAAAAACATTTGGAATAGATCTATTTTTATTTAACACTTACTCTGTAAAAATCACAAATGCTACACACAACCCCTGACCAGGAAAGGGGATGCTCAGGGAATACACAGGGTGTGCTCCACTGCCAAGGGCATATTAAGACTGCTGATGCAAGCTGCATCCTTGCCAGGTTCTGTGCTGTGCAACCCTGGAGAAGACTACCATTTCCTCAAATTTACAAACCTGTCAATTAACCCAGAAAAACCTTAAGGGTGAGGGGACCTCTGCATTCAGAAGACACCTGATACAAAATGAATACCTCCCACATGCAATTCTATCATCTCAGAAGTTTTGTCACACACCAGCATAACAGAGCACAGTGAATTGAATGGAAGCATCTTTTAATCTATTTATGCTATTCTTTTACCCTAACTTTGGTTTTCCTGAAATTTTGAATCAAGAAATAGCTTCTTCTATTTTTCAAGCCTAGTGTTCTGCTTCACAAATGACTTAACATTTGTGGAGAGATCTGTTTTGAATAAGATTGTACCCAAACTCTTAGTAGGGGGAAAGAGAAATAAACCAATAATTGCAGATCTTTCTTTCCTACACTAAACACAAATTCAGAACAGTTCACAGAGATGCTGTAGGAATGAAAATATTTACTAAATATAACCCTAAACAACCTCATCTAACATCAGTGTTGCCCCTGCACTGAGCCAGGGGTTGAACAAGGGCACCACAAGAACTCCCTTCCAACCCAAATTATTTTACCATTCTCTGGTACTATATAAAATGAAGGACACACTTAAACTTCAAACACAACACAGTGAGGCTTTTTTCCACCTATACAGTTCTAACTATGATGCTCTTAGGACTGAGATTTACTGGTCTCAGCATTCACTTCCACACAAGTTCTAGAGGCCCTGGAACACCTCTGCAAGCTCTCAAACACCAGCCAGTTTTTAGCAAATGTGCAGAAGTACAGTAACTCCCAGCAATCTACCACTGACCTGCACTTTCAGAGTGGTGAATACCCAAAGCCACCCAGTATTTAAGAGTACAGCATTAGAAGAGCACAGGCAGAGTGTTTAGGAGACACAGAACCACATGTGCTATGAAATACAGAGACTCACATCAGACAAGGCTCCTACAGGAACTTCAGATAGAAAAGGGGGAAGCAGCACTGACAAGGGACCTCACTACTTGTTTTTAATTTGCAGTAGGAAACCCAGGACCACAGTGAGGATATCTAAACTGAGAAAAAAGAAAAATCTGTCCTTGAAGAAGTAAGGGCTACTGTGTGCTTTTTTTCTCCAGAATCTTAACAAGAAGTTGTATCTTGAGTGCCAGAAGGTGGCTGAAAAGTCTCCCTGAATGCCAGCACAGAATAGTCTGTCTGAAGAGGCAGCTCTGGGACACAGCACTTCATACTGACCAACAAGTGCACTGGATCAAGCACTTCTAACCAAGAAGAGCCAGACTGATAACACAGCAGGACAAACATTGAGTGCTATCTCCCTTTTTCAAATCTGGTGGAGCTGGAGAAAACATCCCTAAGGATTTTTTTGCGCAAGCCACTCAAAGCAGATGTCTCCAAAAACATTACAGATGTCATGTCAGGCAAGTAAGACATCTAAATATTTGATAGTCTGTTCCATCATACCGTCATGGAAGCTGACAAATTCTTCTTCATGTAGGTCAAAACACTGGTAGAACAGGGAGAGGATGCAGCTGCTTCAACAGGACAGAACACTACAGGAGTAAAGAATACTCTGGGCTTATATAATGCTCCAAGTAGCTCAGAGTAGGCAGGAGTGAACAGCAGCCATCCTCAGCAGGAAGGAGAGGAGAGCATTAATATGGAAGGTAGGCAAGGATCAAGGAATCAATGAGTACCTTTTGAGTATTCAGTATTGCCACAGGAAGCGATAAATCTCTCTTCAAGGATCAGAAGTGGCAGTAAGTGATATACTCAGCAGGAATGCTGGATAACACTAAGTTCTTCCATCCTCCAAAAAGAAAAGAAAAGAAGAAAGGTTTTAATAATCTGATAAGCTTTGACTGAAACTACTAGCCTTCTTTTTTCCAACCTGTAATCTGGGAACTCCTGAAGTGCCCCTAAGGGGTTCTCCCACAGTACATACTGGGAAAGCAAAACTGCAGTTTAGATTGCACCTCCAGTGCAAACAGTTTAGTACACAGGAGAAGGCTATTGTTGAAAATGTAATAGTGTTAACTTATGCCATAGAATCATACAGCAAAAAACAGGAGGGCATTTTCAATTCAGTAGCAATTCCTGCTTTCATTTTAAATCTTTGCATGTTAGAAGCGTTTTCAACAGAAGAGCTTTGCAAATCGAACACAAGGAGACAGGAAAACTATACAAGAAGCTGAAGCAATTGGCCAAAAATCACCACTGTTTCTACTGCAGTGAAAGGCTCTTCCAGGAGCCAGTCCAGAGCCACGATGTCTCTTTCAACGTTAAACAATGGGAGAATTCAATTCCCTGGACAGTGACTTTAAACATACAGCAAAGTTTACTGCTCCATTTCAAAAGAGTAAAAAATGTTTGCAAATATCCAAATGCCGCCGTCGCTACTTGTGGTCTCAGCCTCCTTTGCAGAAAGCCTTTACTTACCCCCAGAATACTTTTGGGGCATGGTTCCACAAAGGCTCAAACCAAACTTAGAGCTGCATTTTTAACACATCCACTTACATCTGGTTGCCCCCAGGAAGCAAATTCAGCCGACCAGTTCATCGCCTGGTGACGCAACTGCCAGCACACACATGGAAGGAGATGGGGTCACAACAATCCTGATGCAAGCCAACTTAATTTTCCAAGAAAGCCATGACTTTCACCTCCCTAAATGCTTTGGTGTTACTCACAACATGGCATAACCTGTAAATTCACTTGCACAGATTTTACTGGTAGGCTGAGAAAAAAGGAAGAAAATTCCCTTTGTCCAACATGAACATAAAAAAAAGCTCTACAAGGACAGATCAGTGTCCCTTTAGTCCAGCAGTCTGACTCCAAAAGCTCAAGCAGGAAGTGCTGTGTAGGGAGAGCAATCAGTAATGTCTGTGGTTTACCATCCTTATTCCAACACTCAGCCATGGGATTAGGGATCTTTGCCTCTGGACCTGCTGATCCCTTGTTGAACCTACAGTGTCTCCATGGTCTCTTACCACAATAGGTTTTCCATCAGTTGTGGTGTATTTACCCCATTTCTTCCTCCTACAAGCTACAGGCTCACCACAAAACTCACAGCATCTACCCAAGCAATTGGCCTTGTGTGAGCACTGGGAACCACAGAACAGCAACACCAGGCTGGGCACAGACAGAGTTCTGCCAAGAGCTCAAGTGGCAGCAGCAGAGCCACACCATTCACCTTTTTACAAACAGCCAGGAGAAAGCAGAACTGCCAAACTCAAGCATCGGGTGCTTAAGTTGAAACTACCACCCAGAGGAGCATGTGGATTATATGCAAATTGTGTTGCTCAGAATTCTCAAGCTTACTTATCCCCTTCCCACCTTTTTAACGTGGGTAACACATGAAAAATACTTTAGCTTCCAGCAATCTCCACCTAGACATGCTTAGTCCACCATCAGCCTATTTATTCACTGTAACATTCTAGAGAGCTTAGAAAGTGTCAAACGCTTGTGTCAAGTCTCCACACATGATACATTACCATAACTCAAAATTATTGTGTTGTTTACTCCTTCTTCCACAGCTTTATGCTCCCTAATTTCATTCCTGATTAAGTCAGTATTTTACTCAGCATCCAATTTAAAACGAGGATCACTGCAGATAAAATAACTCCACACAATACATATAAATGCGATATATAAAGTATGAGTCAATAAATAACTTTATGGAATACAATTTTATGGAGCTATATTTTCTTTAGTGCATTCTATAAAAATCACCTTGCTTCACCTTCTGAGCATTTTCCATGCTTTGAACTGGGAAGGAAGAACTCCTTTGGAGATGCAGCTCTGGGACTGGCTGGCTGGGCAGCAGTGCTCATGCCAAGGTTCTTTCCAGCAGCTGGATGTGAGCCAGCAGCAGGTCTGGACAGCAGGGAAGTAACATTTATCCTTCCAACAGCTCCCCAGACATTATTAGACACACCTCCAGTATACATCAGTATCTGCTTGCTTTCCCCTGCTCAGAAGATTTTACTGGCTTGATCATGTTCTGGATTGATAAGGAAAAGTCCTAAACCTATTTCTGTTCAAAGAGGGAAGCTGGTTCAAGAAGAGGACGTGCTACTCATCCTTTTTCTTTAGCAGCTGTCATTTGATCACCAGGACTGCCCACTTCTGAGTGACAATTCTATGAAACAAAAAAGATTCAGCACCTTGCAGCAGGCTGAAGCAATTTTCAGATTTTTTTTCCCACGATCTTGATTCAAAGATGTTAAGAGATTAAGAAATACAGGACTGCTCTTCATATCATAATCCAATAGTTAATCACCTTCCCTGCGAAAAACATAAATCTTTTAATTTGAACTTATCAGGTTACAAATTCTTGTTGTGTTTGTCAGCAAGATTAAAACAAGCTGACTAATATCCAGTATTATCTTGTCAGGGACGTATCTGAGGACTCTTCTAAAGTCACCTCTTAGTTTTGCTGAGACTCTGCACAGTAAATTCTTAACATTTTTCACTGCATGGCACTACAGCTTAGTTTTCTGTCAAACTGGGGATGAATCCCCCTTGCAGACTAATTTTGGTTTTTTTGGTTAGTTGGTTGGGGGTTTTCTTGTGTGTGTGTGTGCTGAGGTCAGAATGATACACAGTATTTTGGGAATGACTTCATCCCACCCCACACAGGCAAGAACATATCCCTACTTACTCCACTGATGCATTTTAGAACTACATTAGGTTCACTGTCACAGCATCACCTTGGAAACTCATGTTTGTGCTGTTTATCCAGTGTCTTGATTTAAATGCAGCTGGAATGCCTTATTCCCAGGTGCAGAGCTGCACATGCAGCAGCCTTAAGACTGGACCTACTTCACCTGACAGTCACAGTGGCTGCCTCAGTGCTCACTGACTTTCCCTGAACCACAAGTTTATCGTGCAAAAGTTTTTAGAGACATTTTGCACCCACAAAAATCACTAAACAAATTGTGACAAGCAATTACTAGGTTTTGCTGAATATCCATGGAAACTGTTCACTCTTGTAAACCCCTGAATTCAGACTAATCCTGAACTAAATGGCATTTACTGATATTCAGTACTAATATTAATATTCAGTAAGGTCCCCAACATCAAGTCCTTCGACAAAGTCAAGTAATAAATTCAACAAGCTCTTGTTTTCTTAAAGCTTTATTTACTAGGATTTATACTTTTCTCTCCTTGTTAACTAAACTCTGTACTAAAAAATAAATGGGAGAGCTGGTAATAATGTGAACTACATATGTATTAACACACACAGAGTTACCCAAATACCCAAGGTAGCCTGGGCACCTGCCAGCCCTCTGCACAGCACCATGTCACTTACCTGCCATGTTCATCCACTCCATCTCCTTTTAGATCTCACATATCAGTACCTCTCTAACCTCCTGGAATTTCCCTAATGTTCCAAAGTTCATTGACTAAAAAATATTCCTTTCAATATTACAGCTAGGGATATTCCAGTGGTCAAAAAATATACTGGCCAAGGCAAAAGTCTCTCTCACCTCCCAGTGTATTCTGGTGGGGAGGGGGTTTAGATGGTTTTTGTGTTAAGTTTTGGTTCATGCTTGGTTTTTTGTTTGGTTTTTTTTTTAAAAAACCAACCAAACACCACAGAGAAATTTCAGAAGAGCAATTTAATTCTAAATACCTGAAGGAGGGCACAAGGGTTACTCTGACATCCCAATTAAGGTAAATAAATTTCTTTATATAATAGGACCAAGCTATTCTCTCCTCTACTTTAAAGACAGCTACTTTACCTGATGATGTTTGAGAGACATACAGGCTTCTAATGATGATGCATATTAATACAGACAGATGTGTATGTCACACTCCAAACAATCTGTGATTTGCCTTCTGTTTTGCTGCAATTTGACAAATTCAATGATGTCAACAAATTTTTTTTTACATTACAGGGAGAAAAAAAGTAAAACAAAATTTTCAGTATAAGCTGAACTTATTTAACAGTGTCTTTACATTTGAGTGAAGCTTTTCAGTAAAACCTATAAAGCTTTAGAAATTTCATAAGTTTGCAGTTATGGGAGAAAAATAAGATGGTGCTGATAGCTGACTAACACAACAATATGTATTTGGGCAAACTACTTGTACTGCAGGGTGTAAAAAAAAGCACCCTATAGCACAGTTTGCACTGCTACCATCCCAGCAGCAGCCCTGGCTGGTGTCACTGGTCAGCACATCCTAACTGGCCACTGCACTTGTGCTTGTAAATGCTTTCAAACATTCCTGGCCTCACCTCTTAGTATCAACCCCACACAGCACACTGAAATCCAGGCAGCTGACAGCAAACTGTGCGAGGGCTCCAACTGAGGGGGGGGTCTCTAAAAACAAACCTTTACATAAGAAATGCAACTCTAAGTATCTAATGACTCAAAACTTCACCTGTGGGGATAGTCAGAGAATAATTCTTCGTGAGTCCATTCTATCACAGGTGTCCCCTAAGCCAATGCACGTTATCTGTTCCATTCTCATGAGCTGCCTCTGCACTACTTCTGTTTTCACCTGTTAAGAACCACATTGAAAAGTAATTAGATTTTACAGTTTCCAAGCTTTTATAATACTGAGGAAAACTTCACTTTGGCTTTAATTTACATTAGACACCCAAACTGAGTTGTTCAGTCTACAGTTACCTGAATGTTAACACGACCTGAAACATAAAACTCCCTACAAACCTTACGTTTATTCTACTCTTCTTTTCAAGGTTGTTCTTGTTAATCAGAAAAAACAGATCACTCAGTTGAGCAGCAACCATTTAGTTTTCATATTAAATATGTCTAGGATAAGTATATCTCAATTCCTAAAGAATGACGGATTATTGTAGAGAAGTGGGAGGAGTTTCAGGACAGGGTGTTTTAAAGGAAATTCAAATATCCTTCAGCACAAAAAAAGCAACATCTTCAGTTACAGTCAGGAGAAGACAAAGATTCTTTCTAAGTTTCAGTAAAAAAACCTAAAAGAACAAGAGCCATGTATGTTCTGAACCATTTTTATGAACACTAAATATAACAAATAAAAATGGAATTTCCTGGATCTGTGTGTGTCTCTAAGACCACGCAGTGTTACAGAGGAGCAGAGTTTGACACTGTATTGACATTTCAAGGTTCAGTACAACAAAGACTGAACTGGGCATCTCAACTAGAGCCAAATGGATGAACAGGGGTTTACAGTTAAGCAAACAAATCAGTACAGTTCAGTAAGTGAACACAAACAAAACAACCACCAGTCAAAGCTTTGGTTTCTTTCAGCTCCAGTCAGTGTCCTCATGTGTGCAGGAAAAGTGGTTGCTCTTACTACATGTATTTCTAGGGCATGTATGAGCAGAGGAGGGAGCAGCACTGGGATCCTAATGTTCTGCTACTCCCTTGAGCTTTCCCTCTCTGGTAAAGAAGGGGTAAGAGAAGGGGAGTTGCCAGGATGGGAAAAATAGGGAGTTTTTATGCAAATATAATCACTCTGTGTAATATATCTGAAACAGCTAATGTCCAACAAACTGTTCAGACAGAGCAGGAAGAACTATCCAGAGGTCAGAGCTCTGCACAGCTTTGTGTTACAAGTGATGCAGAACCTGTTGAAGTAGGAGGGATATCAAGGAATAGGCTGGCTCTGCTCCAAGAGCAGATAAGCCTAATAAAGCTCAAGATCCAACTTTCAAAAACCTTCATTAGAAAAGCAGAAGTTCTTGGACATGAAGTCCTAAGGGGAGGAGAAGAAATTAAATTCTGGAGTAGGCTCTATACAAAAATTCCTGAGCAAGTCAGTAATGACATATAATTAGATTTTTTTGTATAAATGCTGAATAAAGACAAGAATAACACAGGTCAGCTTCTGGCATTCTCAAGACACAGCACTGGGAGTGCAGCAGGCGGGTATCAACCTGCAGCCACAAGAGCTGGTGAGGATGCACACAAATTAGCTACAGATCCTAGTCAAGATCCAGCCTGCTCACACGAAAAGCAGCTCTTGAAATAGCTCTCTCCCTCAGTAACGCTGCAGGCACGAGGCACCAGCAAATTTAATGCTGTAGTGACAGTTCCCCAAGCTCTGCCCGAACTGGGAAAGACTCGCTGTATTATTTTCACCTGTAAGGCCACTGGAGGCTACAGGAACTCGAGTCTTACACCTTTTGCTCGGATATTAGTCCTCAAAAATATCCCACAAAGTTTTGTGAATTTTAATGAAGCCATTCTCTGCATCCTAATAACCTCTCATGTATAGCAGATGACATTAAAACTGAGCTAGCTCTATACATCCAAAAGAAAAACAAAATGGAAGTAAAAAACCCATCAACCTAAAAAAAAAAAAAAAAAAAAAATCAAGCAAGCACTGCTTTGCCTTTATGCTAAAATTGCTTCTTCCTTCAGTTCTACTGATGTTTTCTGTACTCAAGTAACATGTTACGGACTATTTAAGTAAGAACAGCTTGAAAACAGCACGGGAGTTATTTCTTATACCCAATGGACTCCTGCAAATTCAACAGGCTCTGCAGAAGGTGAATAAACTGGAGAACTTAAGACAATATTTACACACTTCCTGCACTGAAACAAAAACCAGATACACTGGAAGTGGTAAACAGTATTTTAGATGCTTCTAATGACACCTCTGGAGTTTATTACCAGAATTCAGTAACTGGCAGGAGATGAGGAACAGCCATGCATGTATTTAAGTGGGGGAAGGCTGAGTAAAAAAATAGGAAGTCACAAACAGGAAAGCGAGCTCATTCTTACCAACAGGCAAGTGCTAAGGATTACACTGAACGGAGAAGGATCTACATAACACGACAAAACCCTTCTATCGAAGTCATTTCACAAAGCTAAGGCGAGGCCAAACCCGATACCATATAAATACATATTCTGAAGAAATCTAAAGTTGATGTAGAGAACAAAAAGCCGAGTGTTTGGACACAGAGCATGTGCGGTTTTCTCCTCTGCATCACAAAAA